TTTTGAAATAAAATGCAGATTACAGGCACCCGTGCAGATGAAATGAGAGGTTGTGGACAGATGCGTCATTTGATGAGACAGACATTCACTTGGGCAGTTGACACTGCATGCTTAACATCCGTGCAATTAGGGCGCCAACACATAAAAGCATTTTTCCTCCACTGACACCTGCTGAAATCAAAGTGGTGCTGCAAACATTCAAATTCAGTTTCCTAGATTTCACAAAAGGAACCGATTGAATGTGTAGATCACAGCTTTTAGCTTTGGTCCCACCAACAACTGACACATTGCCGATGTGACTTTACGTCCGAACGATACACAGCCGTGCTCCATTCCACCACCTCTCCGATACACTCAGAAGGTCTAAATTCTAGTTTTTAGCCTAAACTTTAACAAATGCCCTCTCCACACCTCCCAGTTTTGTGGTCGTTCTATCACCGTAAAAGAAGTAAACTCCTACCGATGGTCTCCTAGCTACGCTTTATTTACTTGGTAACGCCCTGGAAGATGAAATACACACTATGGTGGTGGCAAGGTTTGACGTTTTGCAATATTAGAAGAAGGTAAATCGTGTATTTCGGTACCTTATTTGCCTCCTAATTGCTACAGATAGTGAAGCCTTTGGAGATTCAAAGCAGAGGACCAACTGTTCCCACATAAACTCTCGGCAATCGCCTTACCCCTTGTTCAAGGGGCCGAGACCGAATTTGGCAAAACAGAGTTTATCTGTTTTGATGGCCATAACCTGAGGACACCATAGCCTGCGTGGGATGTAAGGGAGAAAGGAGGAATAGTACAAACTGGTGGCATAAAGCTCGGCTTCTGCGTCCCTTATTGTCTTGCTTTTAGCACAATTAAGCAGAGCAGGAAGATGAGAGTGTTTCGCATCACCTACCAACCAAATGCCCTTCAAAGCACAAACACTGACACCTTGAAAGTAGATATTTCGCCAGAGATGATGCACATTGATGTGACAGGCAAATACACAAATTCTACTGGTTCACCAGCGCGTGATGCTTTGATCTGCCTCACTTAAGGATTTACAGTTAATCATGCATGCCTCAACAATCTTGTCGAGTATCAACGATGACGTCAATGAGTTCGCACAAAAGCAATTAAAGTAATACAACAGAAGGAAGAGCTTTACCTTGGACGACCTTGTTTTTAGCCAATAGCATTCGTAGTTGAAGGTTGTGAAGAACATTGAGGTAGGCTGTTGATGAGGCGAATCCCTTGTTGTGATACCAGAGTCGGGAGTACTGAGTAGGTGGTAGGTCAGCCAACAAAAAGTTGACCACGTCTAGGCCAATTGTCGTGGCATTTGGATCGTTGAATAGGGCGTTTAAAAGGCTCTCAACTCGAGACTGATTGGAGAGGAGACGCTTCACTGCAATCACTGCTGAACCATTCTCGGTAATCATAAATGTGAGACCACCATAGCGTTTGAGGATAGCCTCATTCCGTGATTTTATAAGGTAATTAGAGACGTTGTAGTTTGTCAAATTCATCAAGAAATCCGTTGTAGGAAGAAGGTGGTTAGGTGGAGGCACGTAGGCTCCAGCAGGACAGAAAAAATCAGCTCCTTTACAGGAACAACTGACTTTCTCTGTTGCCTCAACTTTTTGAATGCCTTCTGGAGTGAGTGCTGGTAGGGGACTCGGCACCGTATAGTCCTTGAGATTGCAGTAAGCGTACTTCTCCGGTACCAGTTTATACACAGAGTGTGGAAGACAACGAGTTCCTGACCAGCCTCTGGCTGAAGCAATAGCTTGAGAATAGGCTTCTCTGGTGGTTCGAATTGATGAGATATTGGTGGGTTTGAAAGAAAAGAAGGTTTGGAGGTGTGGAATATCCCTCCTATTGGACATGAGCCAAGGATGAAGTGGCATACTTGGTTGAGTCATGTCTACAGGATAGGAGGCTATAACAGCCATCATAATGATCACTGCGATGGCTGGAAGTGCCACTTCCAGAATCCAGCCCCGTTTACTACGTAGAACACACTGCTTTCGCTTAGATACGTAGGCGTGGCACTGTTGAAGGTAGAGACGACATCCAGTGTTGCGTTCAGCTGTGGCTGCTTCCACGGGCACTACAGCTGTCGACTCGTATTCTGTTAGTAGCTCAACCACTGGGTCGACGTCGGAGTCCTCATCAGTGTCACCATCAGCGTCAGTTGAGGATGTATTTGATGAAGTGTTGTTGAATTTGGCATGGCGTTTAAACAATTTCCGTATGAATGCCATTTTTTTCTGTGTTATTGGGCTGACAGTCTGGAGGAGATG